TTTTTTTTTTTTTTTTAACATTACAGAGTATCAGGACAGAGAAAAATGTTTCTCCACCTTGCACATTAGCAACACAGAAATAAGATGTTTGTATCCAGTATATGTTCTAATTATGATGTGTACGTGGTCCTAGAGATCTTAAAAGATAGCCATACACCTAGAAAAGTGTGCAGTGTACAAATACAATAAAGTTCACATAGTAAACACTCGACAAATGTTTCTTGAATAAAATTTAAATATAAATTCTTGTTATGACAATAAATCTCATATTGCCCAAGTACTGTACACATAGTAGGTAATCAATAAATTTTGCTAAACAAAATTCATTAAAGATTGCTATCTTCCATCATCTGCACAGTGCCTGAAACAAAGATGGTACTTAATAAATAATGTTTCTAATTATAAAAATACACATGCTGCTTCACACTGTGATCAGCGTATATTTCATATATTATTCTGAAAAATATTTTGATAAGCAAAAAGCTAAAACACTCTTATAGCTCTTGATAATAACAGCAGGAGTCAATTCAACATAGATATTTCAGATTAACAACTGTGTTTCACATGACAGCAATTCTGCCTATATCCCTGAACTATCTATAGTCAAGACAAGTCATTTAAAATGAAATATTACTCCCTAACTCATCATGATAAAAATCTGAGAGGAAGAGGAGGAAAACAGAAAAACGAAGCTGCTGATAAAACATTTAAAGTAACTATTACTCAGTAAATGAACTGGATAGGCAGTTCATTATCTTATGTAAGATAAATAACTATATCATGAAAATTTCCTGCAGCACACCATAAATCACTGTAACATTTCATTAGCCATTTCCGATAAGTAAATGATCATTTGACCCAAGATATCTGTATAAAGTGAATGAATTTGTCGATCTTTATTTGCCAAAGAAAGGTTGTCTTAAGTTTATATAACTGCAATGACTCAGAATTCATTTTATATAAAGATATGCATAATTGAATGTCACCTTGCAGAAGTCTCCACCTTTGAAATCTTGCTAAAGCTCAGCTTTCTGATAAAGCAAAACATTCTTCATTTACAGGGCATGCTACTCAGCATCACATTCCTTAGCAAATGGAACTTTTGAATGCATCTAAGTTCATCACGCATTCAAAATAATTATTAGTTCAATCATTATTATTCATAATAATAGGCAAGAAAAAACGAACACTAACATAAGAATCTTGAAATATGCAATCTCAAAAAAGTACATTTCAAGGTTATATTGTAAGAACTAAAAATAATATGTCTTAAGCAAGAAAAAAAGCAACAGAATTATAATATCAAATACTAGTACTTTCTAAATATCAGGAAATTTGAATCTGCCAATAATAAGCTCTGCATAAGTGGTAGGTAGTGAGAACTAATTTTCACATGTTCATTGGTAATAGCCCCTTATTTTTTGTAGTAAAAGAAATAAATTGGCATCACAAGAATACAGACAGATTTTAACTCATGTTGTTTGTCCCATATGCTAAAGTAAAACTTGACAAATACACCTTGTCACATTCTTCAAAAATATTATAAAACTGATAGGTCTCTCCTACATGCTACCTCATATATCTTATCCTCTAGCCATGAAGCCGGCAGCTCTCGAGACAAGTTGAGAGAAAAGACATAGGCATTTCTCTGGACTCTTTACCAATATTTTCATGTGCTGGCCAACTCTGAATCCTGTAAGACATAGCTAGGGCACTCCTCTAGGAAATTATTCTTAGGTCCACATTACTGGTTAGATGCCTACCCTTTATCTTCATATATCACCCTATGTGCATCTGTCATTGCAATTATCACATTTCAGTATAATTGTGTTTGTTTCTCTCTCCACTAAGCTCTTTGAGAACAGCAATTGTCTTTTGATCTTTGTAATCTCAGAAAGCAGTAGATTGCCAAGTACACTGAAAGTGCTCAATAAATGTACACTAAATGAATAACTACTGGTCTATCCTTCACAGAAAAATAGTTACAGTTCACAGAGAAGTAGTTTTCTGAATCAACTAATATGATTAGTATAGTTTTTCTTTACCCTATTAATGCCAGACAAAAAAAAAATTGTATAAGGCCAAGAAGTACCGTATTGCAATATCTACTTCAAAATATGTGAATATTTATAAAAGTCAAAGGATAAAACTAATTCATCAGTTTTATTCATGGGGAAGAGGGCTTTGGCTGTACAGACAGAAACTGGGGATAGAAATTAGATTATCCATTACTGATACTCATGAGAAATATACATGCTAATATTAATACATTTCATCACAAAAATTAGGGTTGGCAGTAACAGTGGATTGAGTGTCCATACAAAAATTTCAGGAGTGATGTCAGCATCTTGTCTGGCTAGAGACACCTGGTGCTCATCCCTGCCACAGGAGAGGATTGAGACAATGAATAAAGAGCTACGCTTTGACTGGAGTGTCAAAGGGAGAGTGCTGGAGTGCAGCGGGGGAGTAGAGATTCACCTGCAGTGAATGCAAGTCCAGAAAGGCAGCGTGGAGGCACCCAGCCTTTGTCCTGTCTTCTCCACCTGGATTGGATCTGTTCAGGATCAGCAGTGACTTCCTATTATAGGGAATAGGTAAGCAGATGATCCCCACTAGCCCCCATTGCTACCACAAACACCTACAATCCTTACTACAGAAGAATCCCACAGTCCTTACAAGCTCTGAGCCCAGTTTAGAGAGCTGCCAGGAATTCCCTCAGCTGCACTGCCCTCAATTAAGAATACAAGGTGTGCACTTCTCATTCCCTGCTCAAGCCCTGTGAGCCAAGATGCCACAGCATGGTGCCATCTTGAGACCAGAGCCACCTCTGGAGTGTACCTTGCTCAAGTGTCCAGTAGCCTCTGCACCTCTCCAGTACTGCAGTTCAT